TTCAATATACCATTGTTCAAAACTGGACATTAAGTGACGTCATTGGTCTACACTGTCAACTGCTTAATATACCAACGTTCAAAATTGGACATTAAGTGACGTCATTGCTCTACACTAAGGATTTTAACTTAGTTTGGGATCACCAGCCTATAAATGAATCAGAATTAGAATGCTTTCATTATTGGTTCCATATTAGGTTCAGTGATCACGATGATTTAGAGAGAACTAATTACGTATCGTGACTTATAAGGTATTTTTGTTGTCCTGATAACGGTACTAGCATATTCTAGTAGATTGTCATGACATGCTTGTTATTATTGCATTATTTCAAAAGTCTTAGTTTTAAAGGTTAGATAGAAATATCATAATAACTTTTCTCCCTTCTTTTACCGATCTGTATTGTCACTGTACTTCCCAATTCTGTGACTGGTTTCGTTTTGTATTTAGTCTTCATGTCCAATTTTAATTTTAATTCCGTAACGGGAATTTTAAGTGTTTCAATAAAAATAATGTCGTTTGACTGTATTAACAACACAATTTAGCAAGATGTGATCGCGTCCATGTGTGTGTAGTGAATCTCACACACTAGAAAAACCAGAGTATATCACAATCGCGGAAGATGCTGTATATTCCATTAAAGTGCGGTGGTCTTCACGCGTGTCCGAATTTAACGTAAACAAACAAAGTATTTCACACGCGTTGCATATGTCGCCATGAAGCCCCTGTCAAGCAGAACGCTGCGCGACGATTATCGCCCTTCAATATCAATTGAACTGTTTCTAGTTTTAATAATACACCATGCTTTTCTATGGTGTATGCTATCGTACGAAATCAACTGAACTGTAACCATGGCAACGCATTAGGTACTATTATTGTATATATACTGACTGTTGACCTCAAATCATAAGATAACGATGCCACATTTCCGTTCAATGAATGAGTGTATAAATTGGTTTACAATGCGCATGCGCTGTAGGGTCTGTGTCAGCGATATCGTGTCCACATATCACATAATTTATTTAATGACATGCAAATTGTATTTTTGTTGATACACTGAGTAAAAGCATTACCCAGGCAACCTCAAAACGAATTGCAAAGATAGCAACATTATTTGGTGAGTGATATTTATTGAATTATTTCTTTAGTGTCATCCGTTTGTCATTGATCGCGGTTTTGATATTAACACAGACTACCTTGTTTGTGTCATGTATTTCGAAATTGACATTCACAGTTCACGACGAGTTCAGACCTTTCTTTCACTAATTGTGCGCGTTCCCTAAAATTACCCGTACTCTATTAGACCCATTTCTGTCTATTGTGAGTCGTTAACGGAAATTACGTGATAATTAAATTTGTTAACGTGAATGACCTCAACGTAGTACCCTTTAATGGATTGACAACATTGACCTCGGCCAGCTTTGCCAGCATTCCCGATCTACCAATGCGGTGATATGAGGGGCCTTGTGGGATGTGCTATTTTTACATATGTATTAGAATAGTAAACAATCACAGTCCCTTTATATTAATTTTATAGCTTTATGAAAGCTTTTGACATTATTTGAAAGAATGTTTTGGTTTTTTTTACAAAATTTACAAAAACGTGATGAGCAGCAGATTTATTATAGTAATCAACAATATGTGTGAGGAATTAATGGTCACGTGTTAAATAGTAAGAGGGTACACTAATTATTTTAAAAGCAGGTTAGCCACACGGCACACGGCAAGGGAAAGGGGACTTTACATATTTCAAAACGTGAATGAAACCAAGGTCATCCTCGCAGTTTAAAAAGAAACTACAAATTTAAATTTGAAGCCACAATTTGCCACTAAAGAGAGCGCGATATAACAACTTAATAAAAACAACAAATGGGCAGAATGTATGACGCATTAAACTTTAAAGATGGGTAATGAAAAACACTATGTAATGCGCTACTGTTGAATAGAAAACAATTTGTTCCATAAAATTCGCTTTCTTGAAAAACTGAATCAAGTGTGTCAATTCATATACATATATTTGGATACTCCTACTCATTTACATACCAAATTTTAAAAGTGGTTGGTAATACTGCCGTAATGTATTAAATCCTTGTACGGTGTCAATAAATTATTGATAATTATTCCTGTTATATCATACTTTGGCTCGATCTTTTGTTCTGACCATGCCTTCTTTATCCGGTAAGCGAGGTTTTTTTTTCTGGAATCAGGCAGAGACAATTTTTTACCTAAAGGCAAGAGCTTAACCCTAATCAGCTAAGTAAGTGTTGGATGGAGGAATGCAACGAGTGGCTCGGGAGTACAAATGCACTGTATCAGGTGTGTCGTGTACATCCGAGTCGGTTTTTTTCTGATCGATCATTGTTCCACAAAAGAAATTACACGACATGCGCACACAGCAACCGCAGTTGGGTTTGTAGAAAATTCCCCCAAAACTGGTGAAACCGACCGTAGAAACTAATGCAGATAATAGTGTGGGATATAAATATACTATTGTACATATCTTATTATTAATTAATGGTCCACGTGACAGGGAATCCGACAAGCGTGTCAACCAGCATGCACCGATAACACTCGTGCAACACGATGTGTGCTAACAACAGAACTGGTTATCGAAAACAAATTCCTGGCGTTTTCTTGAAGGCATGGTACATTAATAACTGCAAGGGTTTAGAATTCACAAAATTGTGTGTGTGTGTGTTAAGGAAGGATGACATTTTCCGGTAAATGATATTATATATCGGGAGGTTGTTAACGAGGAAACAAAACTAATGGGAAATATCTACAAGATATCCATGGTAGGGGACGTATTAGGAGAAGGGGTCATCAGAGAATTGAATGGCCCATGGACAGATGGCGCATTGGAGATTTATATGTGCTCATTGGGGAGAGTGTAGTGTTCATTTAGAGATAACATATGACCATAGTATAATTTATCCGGGCCACTTAATATCAGTTGAATTGATCTAGTATTAAATTAGCAAATCATGTTATTGTTACACACATTTTTGGTTGGCGGCACCTGCAACATACATACATACCCAATAGGCGCATAAATTACACGCCTTGACGGTAATGTACTGGTGAATCGTGGACAAAAAGTCGATCATTTGGTCCGTTTCTGTTTGTATCGATTTTGTTTCAAAGGAAACAATTCTCTTCTTTGGTGAGATGTGTTCAGACAAACTAAAATTCAAATTATCTGTATTCAGTTGAGCAATACACAGGGGTTAATGCATTTATATGTGTGAATTATTACATTCCATCGATGCGACAGCTTGCTTTAGAACGGCGTTTGATACAGTTGTTACTTTGCTTATATACTAAAGCATGCATCCCACATCACGTCCGCATTCGAATGACTGGATGACCTGCACTTTGCACACTACCATTACTATTGAAAGAAGTAATACAGTACATGCCACAATCGACCCAATATTGCTTAGTTTGGCATATAAAAGCATTTCTTCGGTAAGTGTCATGTGGATGTTAAAGAGTGAGTACTCATCGTAAATGGTTGTATATAGTCATTCATGTATGGCACGGTGTTTCTAACCCTCGCATACAAATTCCAGGTTAATACTTCCAGCGCAACCCTAGAATAAATATGCTTCCCCAATAATATATATATGGATAAGTAGTGACTGTTTAGCTAAATAGCAATACATTATACTGACCACTGTTGTGTGATACATACAGAATGGTTAGGCGAATAGATTACATGTACATGTATTATGGGTGAGTTATATGTCATGGCGGTAAACACAACATACATTACATAACATCATATTTAAACCTAAGACTAACATTAGTACCTTCTATGCTTGTACTCAGTTCGAGTTCGTGTCATGCACCCAGTACATGTTCACTTCTATTTTACAGACTGTAAAATACTTTATTTTAGCTGGAATACATTTTTACTGAAAAGACTTTTTTGGGTGTTTTGTATGGAATTTTTTTATAAATATTTTTGACGAACTCGTCATTCAACTGAATGTAAAATATAGGAAAAATGTATATTCACTGGATTTTAATTTACTGTATCATTCCTTCAGCGTAAATGCCGAAATTTAATTCCAAGCGAAAATGAATGTATTTTACAGTAGTATTTACTCTATTGTTTATTCGGTGTTATTAACTTAGACAACGTATAACACACCTAAAT